TATATATATATATATATATATGTGTTGGTACTATATTTTGACTGTCCATGATTGGCGCTGGTATACGACACTTTGTTATGCTAGTATCAAGGGGAAAACGAGCTAAAATGGATCTGTGATTCAGAATCTCTCGAAAAGTTACTAAGTATGCTACTATAATAACATATACTTAACTCTGAAAGCTTATATATAGTCGAATACGGAAGTGTATATACCGTGACAATGTTTGTCTAAACGATGACCTGACGGCCAATTGTGCTACTGTTTTTTTTTTTCTATTCCGATTTTTGTAGTCAACATTTGTTAATACTTTCAGTTCAGTTTTTTTAGCTACGACCATACATTTTTATCTTTATCTCCCCTGTTGCTACCTTGGCCTGACACTGCAACAACTGACAACTGCGCCCGCTCCGATTATGAATTTATGTGACGGTGGGATATTATATATTTTAATCAGATAACACACTCGATTCGATAATCCTGAGGTAGGTTCGTTTATTTTAATGTGATTGGTCTGGGATTGAGTTGAGCTGCTTGATTGCATTATAATAATGAGGCAAACAAGAGCGTTTTTTAATTAGTGGCGGGGCTGTGAAATAAATGTCCCAGTAAGTATTTTGTACTGGGACATTTATTAATCACAAGTCCTGTATTTGTCTATACTGTTGTCATCAAAGATGGGTTGTCAAGAAAAGTAGTCGATTAATTTATATTCCTAAACGCGTTTCCATAGATGTGCAAATAGTGTAACATACCTCAGTTGATCAAATTAGTCTTACTACACGTGTATAATTTCACGGTTGTATTTTGATTGCCCGATGCCACTTCGAATAATGCGCCTAACATGGTTACGTTACGCCCTCTTGCGGAAGATACAATTCCGTACAATTTCGTCGACGGGGGCGCAATTCTCCAGATCTGTATAAAGGGACTCTGGATTGCGCAGGGTGTTTACAGTTTTAAAGTCATGTTAGGTGTCAACCATTTGAAAACATGGGGTGGCTGGAAGGATGTTCAAGGCGAAACTCCTCGTACTTATTTTTTTTCGGTGGCTAACTTGCATTTTTCCAACTAATCTTTCATCCACTTCTAATGTATTCAAATGATCGACATTTTAGCTCAAATGCGTCGACGTCTGTAACTCTGACTTTTTTATAAATCGCGCCCTCTAGTGACGAACGCTTCTCTGACGTAAATGGGTGACGCGAAGGCCGTCCAAAACGCCGATATTGTTTGATTTGTAGTCGTTCATCATGCAATGAAGATTATGTTTTGTACCGCGCATCTTATGTAATATGTGCATAATTTCTTGTTGTGTAAAACAAAATGACGTACATATCAAAATTGTATCCTTTTAAGCAGGTTTTTAAGCAGTCCATCATTGTTTACGTACGTGACACAGTCATTCGAAAACTGAAAATCCAAATAATTCGACCAGTACTATTTTTTATTCATTTTTTCCGATTTTTCATCGCTACAACTAAAATTATTATCAAATTGCCTTTTTGAATTTATAAATTGACAAAGTATTGAGTAATAAAGCTCGTAGTAATTTGAAAATGTGTATATCTACTGCATTTCATCGAAAAATTGAATTTGATTAGAAGCGAATAATTTTCTACATTGTTGTTGTTTTCTCTTTATACACGCACATTCTAAGCTCATTTCGGTATCTTAAACAAGAGTGGGATTTTACTCAACTATAACCGCCACAAGAGGGCGAGGTAATCGGTGTCAAGTTATTTCTGTGTCGAGTTCAACATTCTTTGGTGATGCATCTTTTATATCATGTGCATGGCTAAGATACGTTTGACACATATATTTCAGGAACCAGCTTCCGATACAATTCAAAACGGGTTCATTGTTTGTTGTTGTTTTCTAAATTTTGATAAAATTAGACGATATGAAATAGTGCATGATTTGTTCTTAGCATCAATAGTATTTACTTTGGAATAAAACGATATTTGTGAAACAACATACAACACACCGATTTTCTCTCATCCAATATAAGTGCTCATTGGAGTGTACAGACAGTGTATCCTTGCTACACTTCTATTTTAGGTGAAAAAATTTAAAAATACGCTTTCTGGCCAAAGACTCTAGCAACATAAGGCCATGGGACCATTCTTCGCGTCGAACTTAATTTCTGAGACTAATTTAGAGACTCAATTAAAATGAATGTTTTTGTCATAATTGGAATATGATTGTTCGTACTTTATATAATTTATTTATTAAATTTATAAACGGAAAATAGGGTTCACAGTTAGACGGAGTTTGTTGTGATGCTACGTGCAACATCTGGGGGTCACCTTGATACAATTACGTATAAAATAAAATCTAATAAAATCTAACGCTTGTTTTATCGACTGAGTGGCATCCCGGTTTGAGACGTATCATCGTCATCGTTACGGGTGAGTTATATTATTTATATTATGTTCTTGTTGTTTATATCGTTCTCTTTATTTATTTTCTTGTTGTTTAGCTGTACAGCCTGATTAGAATTAGCTCCTAGTTTGTTTGTTTTTTCATTTAATGTTTTTGTTAATTTTAAATTGTTTATTCTTCGTATTTTTTATTTTAATTTATTATGTATTTGCTGGAAGTTTTTTTAAGTTTTGGTAAACGAAAGCCCACAAATTAAAATTTACAATATGGCTGCCACTCCGGAGACAGTGTTCTGTTTAATACAAAAAATATAACTGAATTGTGTCAGATACATTTCGTTAAAATTTAAAAACTACACCCACTTTCAGTCGTTCATTTCATAGATCCTTCTTTAGAGTTTACGGTCACTTTAAGTCCGGTTGTTTGACCACGTTGCCAGTTCCAACTCCTGTTGTATTATCACGTTATACATTAAAGAGAGGTAGTCGTCGCGCTGCGCATAAGCTTGGTAACGTCTCAGTTTGTACTCGTTGATCTGCGCAACAGTCAAAGTTGCCATCTTTGTTTATATGAGACCCACATATCTCGCGCGTGCGTGGCGCGACGACTACCGCCCTTTAAGTAACTCGTCCCGGTAGTCTGTCCACCATCATTAATTGAATACTTGCACAGGTTGTTATAACACACACGTTAATCTCATCACAGGTTACAAATATGACATGATACATTGAGTTCACGCATCAGTTCAAATGATTTATGCCACTCTGTTAAATTTCTGGCATACAAGTAATTGAAGTGGACTAGCGCCCTCCAGTGACGGATTTAAATATGTGTGCTCATTTCTCCTCAAACGATATACTCAAAATAATCATGTCTGTTTTTGGGATGAATCTGATATTATTGGTCAGTAAACAGTGCACTTCTATGTGTGCCAGAAATGCTACTAAAAATGTTTTCTTTATTTTATATTTTGACTTTTTGGGGTATTTTTTTTAATGTTTCTAATAACTTATTTTAATTTAAGAATAAGCGTGTACATGACTTAGGTTGTTATAAATGTTTGATTTATTTTATGAAGGTACTAGATATATTTTACAGGTGATATTTTAGTATGAATTGAGAAAAACTAGCAATATAACGCCGATTTGCAACCATGGCTCAAGTGCGGAAGGATATGTGACATTGATCCGCTGTTAAAAGGCTACTATTTCTAGCCTTATATTACTGCAGTGTGCTTGCATGTCGTCTTTGGCTTGGCACCACCATGGCTTATTCCGTTGTACTCCAGGGTGGTGCACCGTGGGGATTTCGTTTGCAGGGTGGATGTGAATTTAACGAACCATTACGTATCGCTAAGGTAAGTAAAACGATTACCGTGGTTGGTTTCTCAGCCATTATCAGCGTTCGCGAGGGGAGTCCGTGTCTATGCATACTGAACGCCACGGCGACCAGCATTGATTTTGCTCGTCGTCACAATGTTTTTAATGGACACGTTTCGCGCATGTTAGTTTTCTAAATAATAGAACCATGTATGTCACAATTTGTGCCATTTACACTGTACAATATAATGATTTTCATTGACAAAGGTTGAAATCTCGGTAAAAAAAGGGGAGGGGGTAACGATTTTAGATATCGTGATCACATATTTCCGTGTGTCGTTTGTTATTGGGGCAGGCGCCAGCAACGTCACGAAATAGAAATATTTGGGGCTTTTGCTTTTACCGGTACCTCCATGTACCCTACAAATGATGTTGTTGTTGTTGTTGTTGTTTTTTAAAAAATATGTATTCACAATTTACCATGATGTAAATTTAGATAATATACTTATGTTTTCTGACTTGTGATAGTCAAGTCGGATGTACTTTAGGGGCTTGGCAGTAAAATACCCCATTAAATTAAATTGTGTAATGAAACTTATCCCATACACAAAGGTCATAGCATTCCATTAGTCCTTGTATATAGAGAATGAAGTAGATTATAAAAACTTTTTTCCCTTGTTGTATTTGCTTTGTCTGAGATATACTTTGGGCAATCTCAGTCAATGTAATTTCAAGTCCAGCAGTTCTTTCCTGTTTTCACAAGTAATAATGTCAAATCTATGAACAACAAATTCAACCTTGGCCACTTTTCATGAAATTGTGTAAATTTGGAGAGAAAAAAACCTGAAAATAGTAAAAAAAATTCAGAATTGTGTTATTCATTTTAAAACATTGTCATAATCTACTGTAGATGCATTAATTTTTCAAGGGGTTTTAGTGTTAATTGAAATGTTTCCATAAATCAGCAGAATTTGCTAAATGAAATTCATGTAAAATTGTAAAAAAAAAATGCAGTGGAATTAATTTTAATTTTAAAATACTATTAATTGAATTTAAATTAAGTGAAATCATCCAAATTTTGGATTTAAAACCCAGTTAAAAAAATATTTTCACAGTAATTAGCTGACAAGTATCTGTGTGCTTAAAAGTATTCAAATGGTGCTGAAAAAGTTACAATGTACGTTTGTAGCAAACTGAAAATGTAACTCAACACCATGGGACTTTAATACCCAATTTTATATAATTAATACTTTTAGCAATATTCAAAATTTAGATTTTGTATTTGGCTAGTCTGGAACCGTCTTAGATACACTGCCACTGGGGTTTGATAGCCTTGATAAACTTTCAACCCTTGTGTTGTTATGTGAATGCAGTGTATTTTATTTCTTACTCCATACCTACTAGCTACAGCTGTTAATGATTATGTAATGATGAAACTACATAGTTGCACACAAATAGTTGTAAGTAATTAATACTGTGCCACTGAAAAATTTCAGACTCTGTTACCAGTGTTATTTTCTAAAATAATTATTTTTTTTATATTGAATAAGAAATTATTTATAAGGGTTTTATTTAATGAAATATAAAAAGTATAACTTCCTAGAAAAAATTTGAAAAAATATGAATAATACTATTTTTTCTTTGATGTTCTTTAAAGGCCTTGCTTCTCATTTCTTTTCACCACAAGACTTTCTCATCCAAATTTTTCTGCACTTTTTTTTTATATTCTTCAATATTTCTGGAAAAAACCCTAATTTTGGACCCAACAGAAAAAATTTGAGTAAATTTTCATTTTTTACTCAAAAAATTTGGCTATTTTTGTCCCAATCTTCTGAAGGAAAGTGCAGATTATAACCGGGACTATTTTGGAAATTTGTGATACAAAGAAAAAATTGCTGGTGAAAAGATTAATCTGTAAAACATCCTCAGAACAGAAAATTACCCGGTAACATCTCGCTTTTCTAAAGTAGATGCCTCACTTTTTCACTGGTATGTAATATTAAAAATAAAAATGTATGAGACTCTGGTTTCAAACTGATAAAACATGTAATACAAAGTGAGAATGTAACTTCAAAATTTGAAAGAAACACATATGTTTATCTCGGACTTCATTTGGAATTCATTCGCAGATACAAGTAATTGTTAAAAAAATAACTACAAAACTAAAATAAAATCATAAAAGAAACTAAAATGGAAGTGTTCCACTATTGGTAATACAAATACAACTATTCAAATTACCTTGATGGACAGATGCAGGCTTTTTTTAAAATTTGATTTGTGTTGAGATAAAAGCACATTAGAGTCACAATGCATGGTCATTATGCGAGTGTCGTGGTAACAAAGTGCCACCAGATCATTTTTTCAGTTTTGTCAAAATTTTATTTTGTTAATTTTGAAACAGTATGATACATTGATGTAGATAACAGATTGCTTTGCACCTTTTTTATTACTGACTGAGGGGTAGGTTGCTATTCTGGTCTCACTTTCATCATGTTTATGTGTTTTCCTGAAGTACTTTATTATGGGTCCATATACTCAGAAGGGGGCAAGTTATTGCTTTCGGAAGTCTGATTACTACTCAAGAGTGGCACTTCCAA